CATAGTAGATAAAATGAAAAAATGGTGAAATTTTCAACAATTTTCAAATGTAAATGATAAAATAAGCATCGATTGTGAAACATGTTTGCTAAATATAAAAAAGCCATTTTCATTTTATCCTCACTTCTCCACTCTTCCGCATTTCTGCATTTTCCTAAAGAAGACTGTTGCGATGTTGTGCCTATATCATACTCTCAATTGATAATAACCGTTCACTTATGAGAGTACTGACAAATACTAAATTAGAGTGATAGATGTGACCCAATGTATGAAAATTGAATTTGTGTGCATTCCATCAGGTGTATGGGTTAGCAAACCATTCGATCATTTTCTCCGAAATATACAGCTCCTTATGTGACTTAAAGTCGGATTAGTGCTCAGCGGCTGCTAGGCTCCCTTAGCTCAGTCGGTAAATGCGCAGCTACAAAGCAAAACCATGCTGGAGGTGGGTGGGTTCGATTTCCGGTCCGGTCTAGGAATTTTTCGGGTTGGAAATTTTCTCGACTTCCCTGGGCATATAGTATGATTGTACTTGCCACACAATCATACTAATGCAAAAATTGTAACTAATAACTAATAACTGTGGAAGTGCATCTAGAAATCTAAGTTGAGAGCACGCAATAAGCCAAAAAAAAATGCGAAGAAGAAGAAGAAGAAGAAGAAGAAGGCTGCTAGGCTCTGCCTTAAGAACGTCGTTCTGGCCGAGGAGGGCGACTCTATCTACGATGCAGAATAGATTGTGTTTTTCTGTGGCTAGCTGCACGCACGCTGAGTAGATAGAAGGAAGATTTATGTCGATTTTGAAGATTTCCTGCAAAAATATGAAGCACGATGCAAGTAGATGCGAGAAATGAAAGATGATTTTTCGAAGATTGATTCGCTAGATGTGCCGCCCCTCTCGATTCTGGCTATGGAGTAGTTGATAGTTGAAACGCTGATGAATGTTGGCAATTGTAAATTATGAAATTTTGTTTTCAAATTAATAAAATATAATCCAAACGATATTCCATAAGAATTCTCGACGAAGATTTCAGACAGAAAAGATTTTGATGCAAGGTTTATTCAGATATAAATCCATTATTTGAAATTGTCTAACCACTTTCAGAAAGTCTCTTGAACGAAAACTAGTTTTTAAAATTTATTTTCACTTCCACTAAATTCTTCAGGTATTTGGCCTAATATTCAATTTACTGAATGAGCATGTATTCGTCATTCGGTTAATGGCCGAATAGTGCTATTCGGTGCAGCTCTAGTTGACATTTCTAAATATTTGAATGAAATGAACCTGATTGAAGTGTCAGCAAGCAAATTGCAATTTGGTGCACAAGAAAACTTGTCAAATCAAAATTGAGTTTTCCTTTGTAAAGTGAATTTTGTAAGTAAATGTATCGATACCATTTCATGAAAGTCGATTTTGATGAGAGATTTCAAGATTTTGAAAGAATAAAACAACCTATCGTATGATTCTACTCCATTCGGTAGGAGATTCTCCTACCAGCTTGCAAATGGAGCTAATTGAGTTGCAAAACGATGAAGCAAATTAGAACACAATTATCTGCTGGGTATGTATCCGGGAATTTGGAAGAACGCGGATCATATTGTATCATTATTCGGAACAATTTACGACCCCGGCGATGTGGTTAACCCATACCCCGAACCAATAAATATGATGATAGTATGATATGATCACATTATTCTAATCGCTCTCTACAATAAACTGCTGGCCATACCTTACTGATACTAATGACAATTCTAAATTAATCCTAAATCCTTGGAGCCTGATTTCATTATCATGTTACATACCTCATCTGAAATTGAACCTGTCCTCATGTGCTCCTTCATAATAAACGTTCCGATCGAATGTCTCCTTGTCTCGCCAGATACCGTTTCCTCGCATAGTGGATTCTCTCTGCCTTCTTGAAATAAGCTGGTGCATTTTGAATCACTGGAGAGAAAAAATTATGTAAACAATAGGTAATTTTAGAAGACCAAGGTAAATGACTCACATGGAATTCGAGTAAAATACATCATCATTGGCGCTGTTTTCGGAAAATGATTCGTTGTAGGAATCCCATCTGTCACGGATACTGTCAGCTCCATGGTTTCGGTAGTCTAGCGTGTTATGTTTCCTAGTATTCGTACCAGACTTGACCGAGGGCGATGTTGTGCTATTACTGCGTGAGCGCAATAAACCTTTAAAACTTCCACGCCGTTTGTGCGCCGCCGGCTGATGATCATTATTTACAGGAACTGACTTTGTTGCTGTGAGTTTATTGGAGGAATTTCTTTTCTTAAACAGGAAGAAACTTTTGCTGCTTGTTTCATTACTTCTCGTTGCAACTTCTTCGTCAAAATAGTTTGGGTTGTCTGAAATGGAAAGGAGATTATAAAAAACAATTGAAATTAGGTAGTTCCAAACATAGCACATTTCCCACCAATGATCTTGGTGTCTTCGGTGTCGTAATCGAGTCGAAGACATCGAGACGATTTGAAGAAAATTACCACTTCTATCACACCTTTTGCACTTTTTGGGTAGTCCAGTTGCAATCAACAATATCCCAGTTAAATCTATCCAATATGAACCCAAATGTATTAAATGCTACAGTGAAAGATGCTACACTCAAGGTGTTTCGTTGTAGAGTGCTGTTTCTTCACAATTTCAAGAACACAAATCTCAAGATTTACAAGATTTATAAATCTAAAAATGTCAGCTAAAGTAGGTAGGGTAGGTGTACCAGTTATGGCTATACATTCCTATTATGGTCATGGGATTTCCATACACACCATAATAGGAACGTTTAGCCATGACTGGTACATCTACCCTAGTAGTATCAGCTATGTGCATTCACAAAAACCTTAATATGTGAATTTGTGATGTGTAATGTGAAAAAGAACGCTGCAAGGAATTAATTCAAGCTGAATCTCCATTCATTAAATGTATCCACCTATGATGAGATCTGACCTTTCTTATTGTGGTAGATATGGTTGGTATGGAATAATAATAACATTACAACCATTCGCTACAATATCCATTACAAGACTTGTACGAACGGTTGTAATGTTATTTTGTGTGGTGTGCTGGATTGACTGGTGTGCTCCATCGGTCCATGACACTTACGTTTATAAATTCCTACTGAATTACTCAAGTCTGCATGGAAGGAAGAGAAATAGAATAATTTTTGAATGATATGTGGGTTTGTGTTTGAATTTTCACGCAGATATTGGCCATGAAATATGTGGAACATACCCAATTGTGTCCACGGTTGGGCACTTGATATAACCACCATTGCACTTGTTATTTTCTTGTAACTGGCTACTTCCCCGGGGGTGCCAAGAACATGCCCGGATATGTTCAATGTGGTCCTGAGCATTTGATATAACCACCATTGCACTTGTTTTTGAATTCTCAAATGAAGAAGTGTCATGATGGGTTTTTGCACTAGTTAGAACCAGGCCACTTCCTCGGGGGTACCCGGAACATGTTGGATGTAGCCGAATAGGTTCTGGATGCTCAACATGCCCACCACTTAATCTTCTTTTTTAAAGCTCATTTGATTTGAAATGGCAAATGATGGGTTTGACACGTTTCAGGCTGATTATAGACTCACAATCAGGGTAGAAACGTAACAATTGATATCTAAAGTTGATATGGATTAACCACAACGTCGGGGTTGTCCCTTAATTTTACTATTTAAATTGGGGAACAGTATATCAAAAATTGCTATTAGTTTGATTGATATAAGATGTAAATATCACAAATAATATTAAAATCTATGCGAACATAACTGAGTAATAGCAAAGTAAGTTGTTGCCGTATCTAAAGAATAGCAAATTTATATCAAATTTTGCTTTTTTATACCTCATCAAGGTATTGTAATGTTGCTTAAATCAATCAATTTAACGATCACATCAGGTCTTGAATCCATGATACCAAAATATTTTAGCAAAGCAAATTGTGCTTTGATTATATGACTGAGATGTTTTCTTCTACCCTGGGAGGGACCCGTATTCACCAGAACATGTTCCGACCATATCTGGTTGACCGATTTTAAAAATGTTCTATGAGATCTCAATACTTTTCATTCGGCGTTTGTTGCGTCCGATTCAGCCAAGAGACACGTCACCCAAAATTGCGTAACACACACACAGAAATGCACACACACACCCACACACACACACACACCACACACACACACACACACACACACACACACACACACACACACACACACACACACACACACACACACACACACACACACACACACACACACACACACACACACACACACACACACACACACACACACACACACACACACACACACACACACACACACACACACACACACACACACGGAGAAAAAACAAACATGAAGAAAAAGAAAAAAACAAAAACAAAATATGAAGGACGACGGCAAGACGCCAGACAGTGAAAACGAAGGAGCGAACGTGTTCGCAAGGAGCGGGATATTGCAGAGATGACCAGTGTCGAACCTGGGGGCCACTGCGAGTTCCAGCAGCAGCAGTAAGTCTCAAGAAGAGCAGCCAGGCGTTGGGCTAAGCCAGATATTCACACCGGTATCCAGCAGTAGCAAATCTCAAGAACTGCAGCTTGGGAGAACCAAAATGACGGAGGTCGGGAGGAAGATCGATGAACTCTATGTGTTCATAAAGGGTAAAAAAAAACAACGTACACAAAGTGATCAAGCAACTGGTGACTGGAATCAAAGAGTGGCAAATCGGGAATTCCGAGAATGGAGAAAAAGAGCCGAAAATCCCTAAAAGGCTCTCCTGGAGGCCAAGGAGAGCATAAGACTGGCAGAAGCACATTGAGACGCCGAAAGAACCCACAAATCCACGTCCTGAAAAGAGAGATAGGGACACACCAGGAGATGAGGAGGAGCCCAAGGAAATGGGAGAAAATGGTGGGTGGCGTAAAGTCGAGAACCAAAAAACAGAAGGAAGATGAAGCTAGGAAGAAGGAATAGGAAGCGAGGAAGAAGAAAGAGAAGAAGAAGGATTACAGGAAGAACAAAGAGAAGCCAAGGCCTCGTAGGGAAAGAAGCAAGGGTGACGCTCTGGTTGTTGAGGCGCACGACAAAACGTCCTACGCAGCACAGTGAGAGAGGATCCGGAGTTGAAACAACTAGGTGAGAACGTGGTGAAAACCAGGCGAACCCAGAAAGGCGAGATGCTATTCGAGCTGAAAAGGGACCCTACGGTTAAGAGCGCAGCTTTTAAGGAGCTCGTCGAAAAATCTCTTGGCGAGACGGCGAACGTAAGAGCCTTATCCCAGGAGTCAGTGGTCGAGTGCAGGGATCTGGACGAGATCACTACAGAAGCCAAGTTGAAAAGTGCGCTGAAAATGCAATGCAACCTTGGAGACATACCGATGGCAATTCGGTTGAGGAAGGCGTATGGTGGCACGCACACGGCGTCGATACGACTTTCTTCGGACGCAGTTAACGAGCTGCTGAAGACAGGCCGAATCACGGTTGGGTGGACGAAAGTAAGCGGGCATATGTGGAAGACGAAGGCATTCGATAAGGATCTCTTCATCGAAGCTCTAAGGGTAGACAGCTGCGTTCTGGGCCTAAGCGTTGACCGAATAATTAGCATGTGACACAACTATGCCGAGAAAACTGGAGCCAATGGACAGGTGGCGTCCAGCTTACTGGTGGAACGAGGAAATTAGCACCCTCCGTGCTACTTGTCTTCTAGCCAGAAGGCGTGCTCAGAGAGCAAGAACAGAAGTAGACAGAGAGCAGCGCAGGGTGGTGTTTCGAGAGACCAGAGCTGCACTAAAACGAAAGATAAAGCTGAGCAAGTCAAACAGCTTCAAGGAGCTGTGCCGCAATGCCGATGCCAACCCCTGGGGCAACGCATACCGAGTCGCGATGGCAAAGATCAGAGGTCCAACGATGCCGGTTGAAATGTGTCCCAACAAGCTGAAAGTCATCGTGGAGGGACTTTACCCACAGCATGACCCAACGAACTGGCGCTCCATAGAATGAGGGTTTCAAACTACCTCTGCAGGATTCTAAGTAGTTACTTTCGGAGATGAACCAGCCTACGGCTGAAAATCTCCTAAATAAAGAAAAAAAAAGTAGTTACTTCCAGAACCGGGTCTTGATCTACGAGACAGACACGGGGCAGAAATAGCTTACAATCACGGCGGGAGTTCCACAAGGCTCCATTCTAGGTCCCACGCTGTGGAACGGAATGAACAATGGCTGCCCAAAGGAGTTGAGATCGTTGGCTTTGCGGACGATTTCGTCTTGACGGTAACAGCTGAGACCCTGGAAGAAGTGGAAATGCTGGCGGCCGAGGCGATAGATACGATTGGTAACTGGATGCAAGGAGCGAAGCTGCAGTTAGCCAACCAAAAAACAGAACTGATGTTGGCCAGTAACTGTAATGCAGTGAGGCAGGCAGAAATCACCGTTGGAGACCACGCCATTGTTTCGAAGCGCGTGCTGAAGTATCTGGGAGTGATCATCGACGACCGTCTGAACTTTAACAGCCACATCGAATATGCGTGCGAGAAGGCGGCGAAGGTCATCAACGTAATAACCAGAATCATGCCGAACAATTCTGGCCCAAGCAGCAGCAAGAGGCGTCTTCTGGCTAGTGTGTCTTCATCGATACTAAGGTACAAAGGTCCAGCCTGGATTGAAGCACTGAAAACGAAGCAGAACCAAAGGAAATTGAGCAGTACGTTCCGGCTTATGACCATGCGATTCGTGAGTGCGTACAAAACCATTTCGACGGAGGCAGCATGCGTTATCGCCGGAATGATCCCTATCGTCATCACCTTGGCGGAGGACTACGAGTGCTATATGACGAGAGAAACCAGGGGAGTACGAAAAATGGTGAGAACAGTGTCGATGGCTAAGTGGCAGCAGGAGTGAGATGCAGCGGAGAACTGTAGATTGACACACAGGCTAATACCGATTCTTTCGACCTGGGTTGAAGCAGGAAGCATGGAGAAGTCAACTTCCACTTGACGCAGTTCCTGTCTGGTCATGACTGCATCGGTATGGACACACAACGTCACCCTGCTGTTCGGAGTGTGGGAATGTGGAAGAATCACCAGAGCACGTGGTCTTCGAATGTCCTAGATTTGATGCTGTGCGATAGGAGATGCTCGCCCCTAGCGCGAAGAATGTCATCGAAGAAATGTGTCGAGAGGAGGGCACCTTTAACGCCGTCAGCAGAGCAATAACGCAGATCATGTCAGCTTCCCCGTCTCAAAGCCTTCATATACGTTCTCAAAAATATTTATTCCGGCATTCGAAGTCGGGTACACACATAGATTATTTTACAGGAGTCAGTATTTTTACTGTAAAAATTCAAATGACCGT